CATCCATCCATTATCTTTACCCGCTTATTCCATTTTGGGTCACGGGTTCGCTGGTGCCCATGTCCAGCAATCACTGTGCGACGGGCGGGGTACACCCTGGATGGGTCGCAAGTCCGTCACAGGGCCACATAGAGACAAACGAGACAAACAAACATTCACTCTCTCACTCACACCAAGGGTCAATTTAGAGTTACCAATCAGCCTAACATGCATGTTTTTGGTCTGTGGGAGGAAACCGGAGTACCCGGAGAAAACCCATTCATGCACGGAGAGAACATGCAAACTCCACCCAGAAAGGCCCCTGGACTGGGGTTTGAACCAAGGACCTGCTCACTGAGAGGCAGCAGCTCTACCAGTTGCGCCACCGTGCTGCCCCCAATATTTACTCATTCTCTGTAAAGTTGGCTGCGGTGTTTTTTGTTTTCTAAGGACAGCTGAATGTGGTGGCTATCTTGAATCAGATTGACTCCAAAAGTTATACAGTTGTATATCTGATTACTTTCAAAGTAAATAAATAAATAAATAAGTAATTTGATAAAGTTGTGAAAAAAACAGGGTCAACTAAAGAGTTTCAATAGAGGTTTGAAGCAAAGCTCGTCCTTTACATGAGGTGGTGGTCACAGCTAAACACCACTGACCACACGTTCTGTGTTGGAAATGCCTGACTACTACCTCGCCTGATTGTTGTCAAATGGTGTTTAGAGGAATTAAAATGCAAATTTATACAAAGGGAAGGACTGAGTGAAAGAAAAAACAAAAGAACTGTAGCAAAGGAAGGTAAAAGTATAAAACTGGGAGTATACTGGGAAGTATTAGTAAACAGTATAATGAACAGACTAAAGGCGAGCTGGGAATGCAAGTATACTGCAAGAGGTGATTAATGAGATAAGTTAATGAGCAGATAAAGAATAAGTGTGGATAATAAACTGAGAGTGAGGCTGATTATAGCAAATTGAACAGAAAGGAGCTAAGTAGCAAAAATCAGAATCAGAATAAACTTTATTATCATTGCACTGAGATACAACGAGAACATGTACGTACAGTCGTCCAAAAGATGGGCAGAGTGCACAAAGCTGCTACTATAAAAAGTGCGGCCCTCTTATTCTTATTGAGAATAATATTTTGCTTGGATGAAAAAAGGGAAGAAAACATGAGGAGAGACAGTATAATAAAAGATCTCTCACGCCGTGTCCTAGACAGTGTAAGAGTCCCACTGCCTGTAGCTCCTCCTCCAAGATGGCCGCTGATTACCACCAGCTGTCGTCCATCCACCTAAGAGGCTCCTCTACTATTTAAGGCTGCAGTCCAATGTGACTCTTCGCCGGAGCATTGTACCCATTTCGTCATCCTGCTTCCTCGATTCCTGTCCTGTTCTGAAAATCCCGTGTCTCTGGTCCCTGCTCTCTGTGCCTCGCCTTCCAGCCACACGCCTGTCCAACCTGCCTTGCCTATACAACCTGGTCTCTCTTGTCTGGCATCTTCTGGGGGATTTCATCCGTGTTTAACACCTGCGCTCCCATCTGTAAGAGAAACACAAGCAAACATTCACTGTGTGCAATCCTACAAGTGGACCTTCACTGAACCAACTCTCTTCCTCAGGATCTTCCAAAGAGATGACCACCTGTATAGCACTGTAAATAATAAACACTGTTATCTTTTTCTAAACTGTATCTTGTCCTTTCTGGTCTCGTACAACTCTGGGTTCCCCGCGTTATGACAGGCAGGGCACGATTTGAGACATCAAAAAAACCTACCACAGCAAAGCAACATAAACAGACATTATACGTGTACATATAGGCTGGTGAAGACATTGAATTTTTAAGGGAAAGTTGTAGCATAGTCCAGAGCTGTCCCATAGGTAGGAATCGTTGAGCTTACAACCTTTTTTTCTGAGCCAGTTTGGCCTTGGTTGTTCTCAGGCTGTTTCTGTGAGTAGCAAGTGGGCCATCTAGTCTAAAACATTTGATTGTTGTACGTGATGATTGATTGTTATGGATGGGTGTGCTCTGTTTGCATGTGTTAAAAGTCTACTTCTGAGCTTCCGACAGGAGGTTGTCTTGAAACACAGTGCTGAAGGTTACCTATGGGACAGATCTGGTTGGCAGGTCATAGACTGAGGAAGTCCTCTGGATGGGAGACAAAACATTTCTGACTTGAAGAAACTGGTCCAAATGACACAATTTAACCTTTTTTGTTGTTAACTCATGCAGTAGTTAACCTCAAAACCAACATGTGACAGTTTCTGTATTTCAGACACTGGTTTACATTACAGTGACGCGTCTGTCCCACCTCTCATGCTGCCGCTCTGTCTGCATAAAGCAGAAGTACTGTAGATAAGTGCTGACTCCAGAATGCATACAGAGACTTTACCAGGGCTGGGGAAAGGCCCAACATGCAACTGATTAACTTTTTATGACACTCTCTGTCTCATATACCATGTATTCAATTATTTATTCCTGGTTGATGTATGCAGTCTCAGCATGCTTTCTTCCAAGTTAAAATATCAAATCCTCTTACAGTCTGGGTGGATCTAAGGTTCTAACGTGTCTATTTGTTGAAATGATGGCACAGTATAGATTTTTTTCCCCTTTAAAACGTTAAAAAATAAAAGTATGCACTGTCTCATGTAAAATGACAAGATGTCACGTTTAGGCTGGGTGTTGTGTATAACTCTCAGCTACTACATCAGATTTTAGCTGTGAAAGTGACAAGTTTTTTTTTTTTAAGTGTAAAATTTCATCCAGTGTTGAATGAGATGATTTGCTAACAAACAGGGTTTACTCTCACAACTAATGCCAGGATTTCACACAAGTTGCACTTAAGTATGTCTGACATCCAACAGTGACTCATGCAAAATCACCGAGTTCTGAATCTATCAAAATCAGTCTCCATGTGTTTTTCAATAAGAAAACTTGATTTAAAAGTAAAATTTAATGCTCATTTACAAAATGAAAAAAATCACTCTTTTGCAAGATTCAAATACCTTTGTTATGTGCTAGATCCTCAGCTTAAATTTGATAAACATTTAAAGACAATTTCAAAAACAATACAAAGCAGTATTAATTGTTTCAAACTAATTATAAACTACCAAGTCAGGCGGTCCTACTATATGCATTCCATGATTTTATTTTATTTTTTTTGACATGTTGCATGACCGCATGGGCTCAGGCCTGTCCAACTGCAACCAAACGCATTGGCTCTTTATACAATCGAGCTGTAAAAATTATAGATAAAAAGTTCATCTGCTATCATCACTGTACCATTATTAAGAAATATAATCTAATGAACTTATTTTTTTTATATTTTGTAATTGTTTTTTAAACAGAAATTAAACATAAATAAGTAAACTTACATGAAAAGAGAAAAAATAAATTTAAAAAAGGGTTGATGTATATTTAACATATAAATATTCTAAATTACATTACAACTACGACAGAGTCACACAAAATCTGGGTAATTTACCTCAGTATTTTTTTTCCATTTACTCCAGATCTTTTCAAATTTTGCAAGCAGCAATCTACCTGAAAAAAGTAATTCTTTCCATCTTATATAAACCATATATCATCTGATGCCAGTCATCCAGGGATGGAACTTTTATATCTAACCATTTATTTATGATAGCCTTTCGGGCTCCTAAATTAAAAATTCCAAATAAACTTTAAGATTCTGAGTCCACATCCCCTGAATGCAAAAATCCAAACAAAAACTCATCCCACTTAAAAGAAAATTGCATGCCTAAGATTACTTCCATATCTATGTGAATGTTTGTTCAAAAATCACGAATCTGTGGACATGACCAAAACAAATGAAAATGTTTTACTTCCTGGGCTCCACAGCAACTGGAGGAACCTGAATAATGTTTACTTTGAGCACGTGTTATGAAGTATTTCATTAGGGGTTTCCAGCCAAAACATCTCCATATAGCTGAACTAGTGATTTTCCACTGGATTGCACATTGTTGAAACCAAATGTCATTTGTGATGACATCATTTACTTCTCTCTCCCATTTTTGTTTAATGTAAGTTGTATTTAGACTTTTAACCTCTTGGATACCCGTATACGATCTTGAGATTAGTTCACATCCTGAATCTGATCGGTATACTTTAACAAAAATATTCAACAATGGGATATCCAATATATCTTTGCCGTCACGAATAAAATTTTGTAAGTGATGCCGGATTTGAAGATACCTATAAAAATCTGTATTTTGAATCGATACTGACTCTTTATTGAGTTAAAATCTCTCAAAGTAGTTTTGTCCAAAAAGTACAGTATGCAGTTAAACCATATTCTGTATATATATATATATATATATATATATAGTCAAGTCAGATTTATTTATATAGTGTTTTAAACACTTCCCACACTCTTGTAATATTCTAAACAATGTTTCTAAACTCTAATCGCTCTTAAAAAGCACAGAACGTCATGATTTCAGCTCCCTGCCTTCGGCTGCACTCTCGGCCACGCCCACTTCTCCTCTCTGCACGGAGATCAGCTGATCAGCTGCAGGAGGCAGCTTGTCCCACAGCTGTGGGCTGCACACAGGTGGTGAATCATTTAAAATAATTTATTTTAAATTTTAAAAATCCATGCCGATTGTGCGGCTCATCCATCGTGTGTCATGGCCAATCTTACTTTGGAAAACTCAATAGAGCGAGTCCGTGAAAAACGAACCGCGGAGTAACGAGGGGCTACTGTAAAGCCATTTTGTGTCTAAAGTTCAGTTGTTTATGGGAGACATCCTATACCTAGCTGACTCCTAAAGTTAATAAGTTGCAGATGTAAATCCAATAATTATACTCCAAGTTCATTAAAATTCATCCAGTGGTTAAGAAAATATTTTGCTAACAGGTCATTTGGCCGTGAAACCTATTTGTAATCTAAAAGAACTCCAAGTCATCGAGTTACTTTGAGTTGGGCTGTTCCCAAACTGTGAGTGAACCAACGCTGAATGTTTGAAGAAGAAAAGAATTAATTCAATAAACACATTAGAAGACTTTGTTTTGAAAAAGAAGTGTTTTATTTCATTTTTAACAAAGCCCAATACAGATCTGAAGCCAAACTTGGGAACACTGGCCAATTTTAACCCAATCATGTGTGGGACACTTTTAATACAATTAAAACCCAAAACTTAAGCACAAATTCGCACGTTATCTGTGATCTTTAGAAAATAAAGACGATAAACAAAAAGGTTTGTGCCAGCAGCTTTTTGTGAGGTAAATAAAAACGAGACTTCTGGTAAATATCACATTTCACAGATGATCCATTACTTTGATCAAAATCAATAAAACCCTAAAAATGACGGCTCTTAAACATGTGCTAATCTTTGTGTCTTGGATGAGCAGTTTGGTTAAACTCACTGGTCAGTACCATAGTTGAAAAACATCGCCCGTTTGCATATTCCTCCAATAAACAAAGGATGGAGGTGAAGAAACGTGACGCACTGGTGAAAATGAAACCACATTTAGTTCAGTGTCAGGAGTGACAGCTGCAACATCGACGTGATGACGGTGGGCTTTCCAAAACAATCTCAACCTTTTGAATTTCTCAAATTAGACACAATTTAAGGCTTCTGAGTCAAACTGGGTTTGCTCGTGTACCACTTAGTTTAATGCTAAACCAAAGCTGTTAAAGGAAACGAGTGGAGAAGTGGCATCTTATAGAAAAGGACTACGTGCGTTTCACCCGCTGAAATTTGAAATCAATTTCTGAAATGAGCTGATCCATCCATGTAAACATTTTCTGATACAGAAAAAATATGAAGTGTAAAATGCATATTGATCTTATATTCTCATATGGAAACATATTTATTAGATATTTTTATAAGAAAATAAATCTTTCCTGCTGTTTTGGTGGTGATATGGGTCGTACGGTCCCATCAGTTCTGAGTCCTTGAACAAAAATCTGCACGTCGGCTTTGTTCTGTCGGAGAAAACGTACTCTTCACTGAAGCAGCTCAAATACTCAAAAGGCTCTGCCTGAGAGGAACATTAGATAGAAAGCAAAATAAAGACTAATAAAATACTCATCTTGCCATCTTTCATCAGCTGTTCATGTATAATAAAGTGTATGTTTCTAATATTAACTTTAAAAATTACAAGCATTTTTTACCATTTCTTGGCATTTTGACACAAAATATCCTCTAGGATATTTACATAAGAAAGATACTGTTCGAGCAATAAAACAAGCTTATATGTGGGTTGCAACAGAGTCGAACGGTTCTGAAATACAAATGGAAAAGAAATTTGCATAGCAGATCAGAAGAGAACTAGACAGGAAGTGATCCTTTTTGGTACGGTGCACTCTTGATTCATGACTTTGTACAATTTCACATATGTACACGAAACAATAAGTCCGTTCATTGTTTCACCTGCGCGCAGCTGAAATCAAGTTTGTTGTGCACTGTAATGCTCGACGAAAAGAAGGCAGGATGCAGACTTTTTTCCTCTCCACTCTTCTAAAACAAGTCTATAGGAGTCGTTTTTCCAAAAAGGAACAAAAAATAAACGTGTTTAAAAATAAAAAAAACAGAAAGAAGGTGCCATTTTGCTACATTTTTTCAGCTGATCATAGTCGGATACCGAAGAGGTAACACAAGCAGATGTGTTACACAGGCCTCCAACATCACACAGTTGTCCGATTCGATGAGTTTTGGTCACGTGGACAGACAGAACAAAACACAAACACACCGACGACGTAAGGAAAAACAAAAAGGTTGTGGCCAGTGAGTCCAGTTCCACTCCAACAGCTCATCTGCTGCAGTTTGACATTCTGGCTGGTAAAGTTTTGAAACAAATAAAAAAACAAGCACCGTAAGGAAAAGGCCTCAGAAGTCCTCTGATCGGGAAGTTCATCAGTTCCTGATAGTTTCTGTGCTTCCACGGGAAAAAAAAAAAAAGCAAAAAGAAATTACATTCAGACTCGCCTCAGGTTTGCGGTCAGGCAAAGTTACTGAAATGCTTCAGGCTTCATTATCTTTTCCTCTGGTTTAAAGTCCAAACCAGCCATCAGAGCCTTTACTTCCAATCATGGAGTCCACAGCACGTCTCCTGTGGGTTTAAACGTCCGTGTCCATGGAAACGTCCTCATCGTCTCTGCTGACCGTAAACTGGGTATGCTAGCGTCACATTTAGTGAGTCATTGTGCTGGACTAAAGACGTGTGCTGGTAGTGAAGTACTAGTTCTTTCAGTGAGCTGTACAGGTTATATGGTTCTGCGAAGCCGTAGCCTGAGGGGGTCTTGTTGATGACGCAGTGCTTCGACTCGCCGTCCACACTGCAAACACAGGACAACCATTACAATCACAAAGTCCAAGACTTGAGAAATGTGAACGTTTTGGTATGTGTGCTCCAGCTGCTAACAGAGGTGTTTGTGCACCACTTCTACAAGGTTTGTGTCACTGCAGCTACGTACACGACGCTGCAGGCGTAGCATCCTGCTTTGCTGCTGTCCCGAACCAGGAACGTTCCATCTCTCTTGCCCTGAAGCAGCGCCTCGGCCTGGACTCGGTTGATGTTGCCCAGTCTCCAGGTCCGCTCGTCGTGATGAGGAAGGTCATCATCATCATCCACCATAGAGTATTGACTTGAGAAAGGCGAGGCACCCAGATGTTAGCCGTGACATTAAACATGTTCAGTTGGTGTTTTATTTACTGTTAATCAAACTTACTCTTCTGTGTTCTCGTTCTTGATTCCCAGCCACTCGTTGAGTTTTTTCTGTCGGACTCCCTTTTGGGTCAGCCACCTGTGAGACAGAGTGGACATTAGAAACCAGGGAGGACCAGTTTACCAGCCAACAGGACCAGTCAGGGGCTGCACTTACATGAGGTACTGGTCTCTGGTCTTGCGGAGCTGGATCAGGTCAGGTTTGATGCTGTTCATCCTTTTGTCGATCTCTCTGTAGTCTGCTGCCTGTTTCTTCAAGTCTTCCTCCAGCCTACGCTTGCTGTCAACTATTTCACTTATCCTGGACTTCAACTTCTCGTAGTTTCCCATGATTCTATAAAAAAAAAAAACAAAAGACGACAAACGGTTAAGAAAAATAAGTCAAAACATTATATTCACAGGTTGCACCATTTCAGCCTTCTTACCTCTGGATCTCCTTGTCGTTTCCTTCTCTCTTGAACTTCTCGATGTACTCCTTGCTGTACCGCTCTTGTGTTTGACACTGCTCCTCGAATATCTTTATCGTTTCATTAAAAGCTTCTATTGCTGTGCGTTTCATTTGGATCTCCTGAAAGCAGAAGTTTTAATGAGTCCAGTCCAAATGCTGCTGTAGCACTCCTGTCCTCATTAGATGGAGGTGGAGCTCACCTGTGATGTTCTGGTGTACTCCTCATAGAGGCGATCATACTCTTTGTTCTTCTCCTGGTACTGTTGGTGGTACTCACACAACTTCCTCCCCACAGCTTCAATGTTGTCCTCTTTCACCACCTGATCCTGAGGAGGGATTTAGAAAAGCTGTGGTTAATTTGACTCAAAATACAAATTAATTTTAAGAACTACTTGTTGCGGAGCTGGCTTCACCTGCTGGTGTTTGGAAACCGGATACAGCAGCTTGACATCTAGCTTAGGATTGTATTGAGCCAGTGACTCATTGCGATAGTGGTTGATGAGCTCAACGACAGAGCTGAAGGTCAGCGGGTCTGAGAAGCCATATTTCCCATCTCGGTGAAATATCTTGATGAGCTTATTGTTTCCTCCTTTCCTGTAGACAAACACAAAACAAAGAGCTAAATTAAACCCTGGACACAAATTAAAGACGGCCAAAGAGTGAGAGGAGGAGCAGCTCACCTCAGAGTCAGAGTGTAGTCTCCGTGCATCTTCGTAGACGCATCTCGTACCAAAAACGTACCGTCTGCAGTATCCCTCAGTTTCTCGTTGACTTCCTCCCGAGAGATGTCCCCCCAGTACCATTCAGCATCCTGCAGAGCCATGTTGTTGTTCATGCCGTTGCTGTTAGTCACAGAGGTGGGCTTGGGTGGCTTTGGAGGTAGAGCTGTTGGGACAACAGGAGCAAATGTAGAATGTAAATATCTCGTTGCTCCTTTTCACATCTTCATTCCTGGAGTCTTACAGTTACAGCAGATTAAAGCACAATCCTGAGCTGAATTAAGATTTGCTTTTAAAAAAATTAAGAGCTCTACTAAAAAAAAGGACTGATCGTGTTACTGCAGGCTCTCACTCATGCTTTCTCTATTAACTGAACAGAGCTAATGAAACTGTGCCCCCCTCCAGCTGAAAGACGACAGCAGCCATGGAGTGGGAGGGGACAAGTGTGAGTCAGTGAGAAATCTCATTCAAGAAAAGGGTCATCTATAAATAATCCCAGCTTTAAATGCAGCAGAGCAGCCTTTTGAAACGACGACGCACAGAATAGATTTGAAGATAAAAACGTGAACTGGTTAAATGAATGTAGCTCACACACTTTAAAACATATCACAGCTGAAGAACAAACCGCCTTCAAGCTGAGCTTTAAAGTGGGATAACCTTTTATTGTTCAATGGATTTAACATCAATAAATCAATAAAAGTTGAGCCGACAGTTTTTCCTAGCAGTGGCAGAGCTAAGGTGGCTGGCTATTTATAACTTGCAAATCTGCACTGCCACTGCATTAACACTCCTTCTGCACCACTGGGAATAGCAGAAGTTTGCTCACTGAAACCAAGTCAGGAGCTGCACCTAGAAAATGATCAGAAAGCAAAGAGGTTTGTGATGTCTGCAGCCTGACAGTTCAAACAAAGCTTCTCCTCCGGCCACTCAACGTGATCTCTACACATTTCTACAATTGTCTTAATCTCCAGCTTCATAAACCTGCACAAAAACGCAGCACGATTGCTTATCTTTGCTACAGTCAAATCAACACCTTCTTACTGAACCACCTAAACAGCACTTAAGCAGCAGCAGCCTGCTCAGTAACGTGTTACATCACTTACCACAGCCAATCACACAGGGGGTCTGTCACCAACCGCTCCTGCATCTTTTTATTTCCTGAGAACGATGAGGTCACTCATAAAGCACGTCCCCTATTACCGTCCACCTTTAATTTTTTACAAGCCTGCAGCTAAATCATTGTTCCCTCTGAGAAACATCAAGTTTTGAAGGCGAACGAGCAGATAAAAGGACCCTGCAGCTGGTTTCATGCTTCCCCAGCACGTCCCGTCTCCTCCTATGGAGCGTGTGCACTGGCTCTCTTGCAGGTTGCTCGGCCCCTCCTCCCTGCGTGTGTCGTGTGGACGTTAGGTCCGTCCCACTGCTGGCACGCAGACAAAGCCAGCTCTGCTGCAGTAGCACGTACGCAGCTGAATTATAATGCCTGGCCTGGTCAGCGGTACTCTGAGACCCAAAATACAGCTGTAATCCCACAGCATGACACTCGACGTGACAGAGACGGCCCACTTCATTTACTTAATGGCATTAAAATAGAACTGCATCATAATTAGGGATTCTACTGAAACTCTGTTATACTTACAAGTTCCAGGTTTAACTGAGAACCAGTTTTAAAAAAAAAATCAAAAAGCCACTGAATCAGATTTGAAATAAAACATTTAAAGTTTAAGAAATAAATGAAGGAACCAGGTCAATGTTGTTTAAAAAAACTAGTGAAGTGCATGCGGTTGTTTAGAACATCTATAAATAATCAGACATTTCAGCTCTGTGAACAGTCTACACTGAAGAGGCGCACGCTCCAACCTTGGGCAAGTTAGTCCACAAAGACTGGAGGCTTACAGAGAAAACCAACTTTTCTTGTTCTGATTTTTGTGTTACGATGAAGTAATATTGTCTTTTTGTAACCATAGAAACCAGTTTACATTTTAGCCTGAAGGAAAACAGCAGAAATTCAATGTCCCGTTTCTTTTTGGTACAAGGATCAAACTTACGTTGCAAGTTAAGCATATTGTGCTGGATGAACAGTCTCTTTTCTGAAGTTTCTTTTTTATTCCCAAAGTTCAGTTTAATCCCAGTGAATGACATTCAGGTCCCCTGGTTGAACTCCACTTCATAGTTTAGTCTGCAAAGACGACGACTCCTTTAATTCCCAAAAAGACTGCAGCTTTATGGGCTTCTTAATAAAATCCAGGTAATCCGTTTGGCGTGAGGCAGGTGCAACATGCGGCAGTGTGAGTGCAACTGACTCTCTCTCTCAGACGACTCGCTGCTTAGTTCCTGCTGAGAGTCCCTCCTCCTCTGTTCCCTTTTAGAGCTGTGTGAGGTTGAGGACTGCTCACGTGGAGGTGCAGAATTAATGATTAGCAGTAGCTGCTCTGGAGTTGCTCTGAACGCCGGCGTCGCTCGTGTTCGACTCTTCGTATCTTTGCTCACTCCTTCCCTGTCTGTTTGTAAAGGACTGGGAGGGAAGGTTTAAAGGGGAAGTGGGCTGTTCAGTCTTATGATTAACTTGCAGAGTTTTAAATATTTGCTGACTGAGCCCTTTGAGGGGCAGTACGTGGATATCCAGGCGGAGGGAGGCCTGAGGGGGGAGTAGGAGGGAGGCTCCAGAGACTGGAAGCAGACCTCAGTTAACAAGAAGGGCTCTGTGGTGCAGGCCGACTTTCCAGCCAACCAAATCTAAGTGGGCCTTTTGTCGCTTACTTAAAATAGGCTCGCAGTAACTGGGAGGAGGCATGCAGACGCTGAGCATACACGCACACGCAATCTAAACATGCATGTTTACAAAGTACGCTCTCGTCTTTAGTCCCAGATATTTGGATGACTGACGACTGAAACCTGGCACGCCTGAACTTTTGTTGTCAAATGTACTTTTTCTGTGTGAGAAACTGGAAGCATGCAGCTACCAGTCAGACCATCCCTCCATCCTCCGTCCCCCTCCCACAGTGCTCCCGCAGGTGCAAATTGCTGACAACTGAGAGCGGTCCGAGCACAGCCACGCTATAAAAAGCCCAACAGGTAATAAATGTTTTTAACAGACACAGTCAGTCTACAGGCTGCGGACCTGCTAACAACACTGCTTTTAACAAGCACTGTAAAAATGCATGTGCCACACAACATGCTGCCGTCTCACAGCAGACACACCATCCACAACTGTAGCTCTGTTTCCGAGCTGTAGAAGTTGGCCATGAGAACATAGATATAAATATAAAGTGGGAAACAGAATATTGTAAAACTCCTATGAACAGTTTAATCATTTTACTACGAAGTGTCAAAAGCTAATTCAGAGACGACCATGCTTACAACAAGTTACTGAAAGTTTTCACCTAATTTAAAACCAATAATCGACACAGTCACGTTACAACGTCCAAACGTTTGCAGTCATCACTCTCCAATGAAAACCACGAGTACATAAAAGTACAATTATAAAGTAGTTTAACGTTTATGTTTACTATGGAAATCTACAAGTTCTAATCTCAAGGTTCTGTATCAGCAACACGATCGGGGCTCGTGTTAACGTTCATCTAGTGCACCGTAGCACAGTTTGAAATCGTTTCACATCCTAAATGTTGGCAGCTTACCTGGTGGGGTAGCCTGCAGCGCTGAGAGTTACAATGAAGCAGTTCGCTTCACTGCCTTGCCTCGTGCTATTAATAGCTAAATGTTCGGTTTCTGTAGCGCACCACTTTAATTTCATATTCTGCACCAACTAATAAATAATGTAAATAAATACCATAACACTTTTTTCCTTAGGCAGCGATGCAAACCAAAGCTGTGCTGATTTGATAAAGTGGTAAAAGACAGAAATAAAAGAATGAACGTACCTGGAGCAGCTAGACTCTCAGTCCACTCGCTGGTCACCAGAACCTCAATGATCTTGATAAAAACATCCAGATTGGCTTCACAGCTGGAATGGGTGAGAAGATGAGGGGAAAAGGAAAGTTCAAAGTTTTACTGCCCAGATGACTATCATTGCCATTTTGGTTTCAATCTGATAGTAATTCAGGCTTAGCTACTTTAATTGCACTGCACAGCTGTGAGGAGAAAAGCTCTAACCTATATTTGTGTTAAACCCATGAGTGCCTGTCAGCCTGCACTTTGAGTGCTTCACTGAATGTGCAGGACTGAGTGCATGTGTGCGTGCATGTGTGCCAGAACTGCATGACTGAGCCTGCACACTCATCTATCTTTAACAAACCTGAATGTGTAGCTGGAGGGCATGAGCCCACTAATCCAAGACTCACCTGGTGGGCTGTTGTCTGAAAAACACAGGACTGAAAATCTCGCCAAGAGCTCTGGCACTGAGCAGGTTCTTGGACCCGCTCTGACACACTCGTGCAAAATGCCTCAGCAGACACTGGAGAGTCAACCAGTATTGGGGTGGCAGGCTTGGGGAGCTGGCGATGTGACGCAACAGCTGGGCACATTCCTCAGAGTTCACCACCTCTGCTGGAAAAGACGAGAGCATCAAGAAGGTCAGATGGATGAGACGAGACAAACTGATGGTGCAGAAAAGGTTTTCTTTAGATAAAGAGCACAAAATGAAAGTTCACGCTTCAGACAATAAAGAGATGGAAAAAGTCGTCATGTGCAGTTGGTTCTGAAAACCGCAGAGAGACTGTGTGGTTAACGATGAGCGTAAGGTACACTAGCAGGTGATTGGCTGCTCAGCGATGATAGAGATCAACCTTCAAGCTCGTTTTAGCTGCTATCAGCCACAGATATCCTGTTTCTGGCCATGTGACGGCAAGAAAATGAACAGTTACAGAACAGAAAGGTGATTTTTAGAGGCAGCAAAAAAAACCAAAAAAAAAAAACCACTTTCAGTAGAATATTTAAACATTTGAAAATATTCTTTAAACAAAATTTGTATAAATTAAAAACACTCAGAGGTAAAAAATAAATAAATAAGTTGAGATGGAGAAGCAAAAGCTAGTAATGAGCTCTTGCAGTTTTGTGCTTGTGATGCACAGCAAGACGAAGGGTACGACATCAACACTACTGTACTGTAAATACTCTGTCCTCATCAATGTTCCAATACATATTGAACATTATTATTGATATTGTTTATATTATTTCTTTATATATTCTATTGTTTATTAACATTTAGGAACTTTTGTGTGAAATCTTTTTTATCTTTTTATCTGTTGCTGCTGTTGCACTTGAATTTCCCATCCGTGGGACAATAAAGGCTGTTTCTATTCTATTCTATTCTATTAAAAAAGCTGCACATGAAATAAATGATCACGTGACTATTTTCATGAATAGCACCTTTGGCCGTGAGGATCATCTGAGCATGGACTGCAACGGGCACAATGGGTTGGGGCAGATCCTGGAGGTACTGCAGCAGACCATCACACAAAACTGGAAGTTCCAGCTGGTCCAGGTCTACTGCGGGAGGATCTGAAATGCAATGCAGTGCTAGTTACATGTCTACATACGTGCTCGTGATGACAAAACCGCAGCACTTTGTGCTGTTTTGAACAACATGAATGTGCAAACAGAACTCTGTTTCCCTCGATGTGAGACTTCCTCTTGTACGTCTTACTCACTGCAAATGTAGAGTTCTCAAAAGCTAATTACAAAGTGGAGGAAAAAGCCTCTTACCACAGTCATAATACTGTCTGACTTCAAGTCCACCTCCAGCAGTGAATGCTCGATATAAAGTGGGGTTCTCCAGACCTACAAATGATCAAATAAGGTCACCTAATGCTGTTCAGTAAAACTGCTAAAATGTCAATAAATGTGGAATCAGTGTTGAGATAATGAACAGGTGCAGTGGCTCATAATGATGGACAAAATGAGGTTTCAGTATGGAAGCTCACCTTTCCTCTCAATAGCTTCCAGCAGTTTAGACAGCAAAGGTGGAGCGGTCTCTGGGAGGAAAAACTGTTCTGTCAAGTCCGGCAAACAGAAGCCTGGTGGAAAACACAACAAAGACAAAATATTGTTACAGGAAGTCTGTGGCTTGACACCAATTATCACCAGTCAGGCGTATTCTGCAAACCTTAGGACAAGTAGGATGAATATAACCCTAGTTTACCTGTAAAATATGTGAATGTGCTGAAAATCTGTAATACTTTTACACATCATACATACATTGTATTATACATTATCACACACACACAACCAAAGAACTGCTTTAAAAAAAGAAAAAAGATGATTAAAGAAACTGATGTAATAACAGAAATGGTTTTGCTTCTACAACTCTGCAGCCTGGTGTGGCCATGAAAGCATAAAGGAATGAGCAAGAACTTTATTTGCATTTGTGAACGTATATTTTGACAAGAGTACTGCATTATACAACCACCAACAAACTACTATACATCAATCTATAGCAGGGGTGTTCACACTTTGTCAGCATGGAGCTCCTTTTACAAAGTGATCTACGTACTATAAGGCCCCGTTTACACGAGAACAACCTCTGGAAATGTTAGTGTTTTTTACATGATTATTGGAGGTAATAAACAAAAAATGAGCAGGTTTAAATGAAAAACGCTGTAGTTTCCACGTCAGTCAGGTTGCCAGATAAGAAATTATTAACTATAGTACTGTGGCTTTAAAATGAAAGTATTTTGACCTAAACTGTCATATGTGCAGAGTAAAGATATTCTAAGATGAGGTGTGTGTTGTTTGTTGAACATGTGCACAGAAAAGGAGGGGGTAAATAAGACATTTAAAATTTATCTGGCAACCCTGAGCTGCATTCATTGTGCATGCAGCATCTGCATGACACTTAGGTCCAAACTGGTGAACACAGCAACGTCTCTCTGGAGCCTGGACTTTATTAGTTTTGCTGTTACATGCTGAAAAAGGGTGAGCAGCACAAAAACACTCTGCTCTCTGCCTTTTATTATAACTGTTGTTATTTATTATAACTGTTGTTATTTATTATAATTGTTGATATTTATTATAACTATTGTTATTTATTATAACTGTTGTTATTTATTATAACTGCTGTTATTTATTACAATTGTTGTTATTTATTATAACTGCTGTTATTTATTATAAGTGTTGTTAGAGCAGAAAAACTGGACTGCAGCCCCCTGTAGTGCACATGTGCGACTTCACACTGGAGCATTTCACACCTCTGTGGGTTCCCCTGAAAATCTCCACTCTGAGACCTGGAATCAGAAACCTTTGGTTTCAGGGAGAATGAGGCTGTTGTCTGTAAATGAACGAACGATTCACGTCGTGTAAACAAGGGGCTCACCTGTCAGTCAGTCAAGTGACTAATTTTATAGATGGATGACAGGCTGACATGTGTTTTTTAAATGACATGCAATCTACCCATAATGCCTTTGAGATCGACCAGTAGATCGAAATCAACGTATTGGGCACACCTGACCTATAGCAATAGACCGGACAAGCAAAGACCTTGTATAATATTTGACCTTGATTTGTGACCTTGACCTCGGAGCTGGGGTGATGAAAATAAGTGCAACACTCCATCTAGTGATGATGCATATGTGAAACAAGTTCCATTGAGTTATCTTAAGTGGATCAGAAGTTTTGGCCTGGACAAGAGAAAATTTAGGGACAGATGTCTGGAGACTATACGATAATGCTTTTGTCTTTTTATCTTGGCATTTAATAAAAAAGTAGTGTTTCTAAAAAGCACAATAGTTAAAAATTTGAAACTGCAGATCTGTGAATAAAATCTGCTTCAGAATCTTGTTTTTCTGTTTACAATAAAATGGGGACTGTTTTAAATCTTGCATTAAATGTTTTAAAGTCTATAAATGGATTCTAGGTGAATGAAGTGAAATTTCTAGGTGGACAACTCAACTAAACTGCTCAGGGGCCACAGTTACTGAAAGCCAACAGCTCAGGGGCCGGACATCCAGCAATTAAAGTCATTATAATAATAATAATAATAATGTCATCACAATGTCAGCACTGTATGTTTCCATACAATGGCGAAATTAGTCTCTGCATTTAACCCATCCACCACCAGGTGGTGCAGTGGGCAGCTATTGAAAGCGCCCGGGGGACATTTTTGGGAATTAGACGTGCTGCCCAGAGACGCCACGTGATGTGCAGTGACTGGGGATCGAACCTGGGACTCTCGGGTCCCAAGCCGGCTGCCCTGCCTCTACACCATCTCGGCCCCATGTAAATAAACAAAGTATTACAATGATCTGTTACTTTTTAAAAGTTTTTATTTTGTTGAATTGAATCATAAATGTTGGGGCTGGGACAGCAACACCATCAGCCTGATCAAGAAAGTTCATCAGAGACTCTACTTCCTCAGACGGCTGAGGCGAGCTGGTCTGGAAGCTCAGTCCTCACCTCCTTCAACAGGTGTGCAGTGGAGAGCATCCTGTGCTCCAGCATCAACGTGTGGCATGGAGGCTGCACAGCTGCAGAAAGAAAAGCTTTGCAGAGAGTGGTGAAGGCTGCACAGAAGATGTTGGAGTCAGCCTCCCCACCATCAAGGACATTTACACCTCCAGATGCAGGAAGAGGGCCACCTGCATCGTGAAGGACTCCACTCACCCAGCACACACACTTTTTGCCCCGCTCCCCTCAGGAAGGAGGTTGAGGAGCATTAAGTGTAGAACCACTAGACTGAGGAACAGCTTCTACCCTGAGGCTGTTAGACTCATGAATCTCTAACCAGAATAATCACTGTAATGACACTTTAATGAGCAACTTGTCACTTTATCGGTGCTGCTGTATTCCTTCATATCCATCTGCTCACACAGACTCATGTTCAGGTTGCTGTTGTTACGCTGTATTGTTTTACATTATTACTGTTTAGCGTATATCAGATCCTTTAGCGTACCGTTTAGTGATTGTTTAGTAGATATCATAGATCCTTATTAGTTTCTTTTTATACTTTATATTTTTGCTATTTCTGGGTGGTAACTGGGACCTCGAGTACACAATATCATTCCACCTCTACATGAATGACAATGAACTTGAACTTAAATGCAATAAACAGAGCCCTAAAGTATAATTAAAAAAATAAATTACATTTCAAGATGTATTTCCTTGTAATAAACGTAGTGATATTCTAATGTAAAACAATATTAAAAACAACATTTTACGCCTCTTATTTAAAACAAATGTTATTCTGACATCTCTGGTGTGCCAAATCTTTACACCATTTTATTTTTATTTATCTTGTTTGATGCAACACGGAGGTCAGGTGGTCTGCCTAATTTCAATGACAAAGTTATTGAACTTAAATACCGATATCTAGACACCAAACTACAACACTAATGAGAGAAACTGCACTTCTTCGACTGGACAGCGGCAGAACAGTCTGGTTCAAAAGATACAAGAGCGATTCACAGTGATGCAGGCGCTCATTTGTTAAGGAGGAACGAGCACTGTTTTTATGGCAGTGAGGGATTTCATCCGTGGTGCCACAGCGGACAGCCGCACCGACAGTGCAAAATCTTTTTGCAGGCGAACGACCGAAGCAGGTGGAAAGGTCTGGTGGAAGCCACAGTGTTTAGATAATGCCTCCGCAGGCTAATCCTTCGTCACGGTGCTGCACTTGTTGCAAAGCAGACGCATCAACTTGCCTTCAGCAGTTTCACTAAAAACATATTAATCTGTCCACTCACTGCTGAAGTTACAATTTTCAATGTCAACTTTTCTTTTTTTCAGTTTTACGAATGACATTATGTTGCTGCGTTTTCGAACTACCGGTACTCTCGTTAGCAAGCACTACAAGCTACAAACACGTCACCAGTCCGGAGGGCCTGTGGACGTCAGGAATACTGAATGATGATTGGCTGCTCAGACTGGCTGCCCAGGATCACAGATCGTCTATACAACATCGCCACGCTGATAAAAATATTTCTCATTTCAGATTTTGTTGTTATTCTGCTGTTTTTCTGATTTCAAATCTATTTTTATATAAATGAAGTCAATGGCAGGCGGATGAGTTGTATAACCCTGTCATAGATCAGGTACTGCAATTTTAAATAACATACGATAGAACTTTATTGATCCCACAGGATGAAGCGAAGAGTGGTATAGACTAACCAACTTTTTGCATTATTGACCAACTGTTCCATATTTGAGATCAAGAAGTTTGGGGCAACACGTGACAATCTCTAAATCTTTATATTACAATGAAATAAGCATTAACAATTCACCATAAAGTGAATATTAGATAACATATCAGAAGACTGTTTATGAATGCAAAAGAATACCACAAAATTTGGGTTTGCTTCCTAGAGCAAAATTAAAAATTGTATTTTTTTATTTTATTTTATTTATATAAGGTAATACATATATTAATAAGGTAATAAGCAGGTTCATCCAAATTAACATGTTCTGAATAGAGCAGGGCTCAGACTGGCATGTTGCGTGTGAAGAAACTGGATTACCAAAGACCTTCTAACCACCGAACACACAATTTTCATGTAGGACAAGTAGTCATCTGGAAGACATTAGTGGAATTGCAAACCTCAAGGGAGGAGGGAAGGTTCTCAGAAGTAGCAAACTTTGGAACGGAGCAAAGTTTCCCTAAATAAAAATCAAGACAGTGCTGCCATCACACACCTTGGAAGTATAAGCTTTCTCTCAGACAAGATACCCAACACGACTCTTTCTACAGCCGTCCTTCTTTCTGAGAAACTGAAATCACAATCAGAAGTTAAATGAAACACAACCTGGCTACCTCTCCACTGATCATGTCTATAAAAATACCTTAACAACCTGGAAAACGCCAGTTTCATTAAACATTCATCACAAATTGCCGTTTCCTTTAGTCATTTTGAATTCAGAAACCGATTCACAAAGAGCACTTATACAAAGGTACAACCGCATCCGTTACATTTCTCCAACATCCAGGTGAAAACTCCTACAACACGACAGGTTTTCAAAGTGAACCCACGTCCTGGTTTTCTTGGCTCCATCCAAGGTTGGCTGGCGTACGAGGGACACAGGGTCGACT